ACTAGGTCACTTATTACAAATGTATCATTTATATTCATGAACATGGTAATGCTGTTTAAAACTTTTAATCTAACAGAATCTGAATTCTATCAATCAGCCTGTCCACTCTAAATCCTAAAATGAAGTAGAAGAGCCATCTATCAGATAATTAATATCTTCATACATCAGTATTTTTTTTAATCTGATTTCATCATTTTGGGCAGTCCCTCTACCCATGCAAATAGCAACCCCTTCACTTCTTTGTAGATAGTGTCATGAATTGCTGCACCAAACTGTAGGTAATAAGCCTCTCTAAAGTTAGCTAGTTCTTTGGTTAACAAAGAGATCTTGTTACTGGGCTCATACTCAAAGCTTTTCAGCTTGAGAAGACCTACCAGAACTTATGTTCCATTGGCCTTTTAAAATGCAAAAATCTAGATTTTTTATTTCTACATCAAGATGAGAGTTATGTGTAAGACTTTAATAGACTGATATCTTCATAAGCAGAAGTAAAAGGTAGACTTTTTTTGCTACTTAGAACAGTTTTACCCAATGTAACCTAAGAAATATGCTCCCAAACTTGTACTCACATACCATGATGTTTTCTATTCACAGTGAGAGGAATAGGGCAGGTAGGACCCATGATAATGCTTGAGAGTCAGTAGTACAGAAAAGCAGCATGGTGTAATAGAACCCACAGTGTCATTGGAGTCAGAGGACCCGAGTTTAAATCCCACTTCTGAACACTTACTACTTGTGTGGTAAAGAAGTCACTGGACTTCTTTGGGCCTCAGTTTCCTCTTCTGTAAAATGAGAGAGTGGCCTCTGTCTTTCAGGTCCTAAAATAGACTTGATATCCTCTGAAGTCCCTTCCACCTTTAAATCTGATTCTATGAATAGATGGAAAACTTTTTTGAGGGAGCCTGAAAGAAACTACAGCATGCCAGCTTGGTACAGAATGATGACATAGACCACAAAATGGCAGCAAGAAAAATTGATGGGATTCCCCAAGAACAATTCAATACAGGCTAGACTATTGGCCCAGACTACTTCTGATTGGATGATTGCCAGCAAAATATAGAAAGTGTTGGTTATAAGGTTAGGAGATCTCAAAGGGTAAGAAGAAAAGGGTAGAATGAAAAAGAAAAAGAAAAAAGGAAATAGATAAAAGAAAGAAAGCATTATATATCTCAGACATTATTTCTCCTTTCTTCTTCCTTCCTCCATCTTGCTACTCTTTTGTCTGTCAGTTATTAGAAAGAGGCTGGGCAATAAGAGTAGGAAATGTTCTATGTGCTTCCTCTAGTCCTCAGATAAAAAAGATTGGGAAAACAGGGTGGGGCAGGGGTAAAACGGTGAGAGATTACCATCAGCCATCCTGGGCATCTTCTCAGAACAAATAAATCCAACTCAAAGCAATAGCCAAAGTTTAGGTACTCTTTGGTCAGTTCTATTCAGGTAGGAATTTTCACCCATGTACCAAAGTAGCACAACTGAAATTTCAGGAAGCAACATGGTTGGTGCCATTTGTAACATAGTGAAGATTCTCATTTGGGCAAAAATACGCCTGTGTCTGAGGAAAGGCTGAACAAATAAAAACTACCTTTCTGTTGCTTCAATTGAGCTTCAGCTCATTTAGAACCTGCCAGAAAGCTTGAGGGACAGCAGAAATTGCTTTTGGGAGAACTGATTAGCACATACCTGGTCCAAATAAGGAGTCCAAAAGCCCTAAACTAAATGACTGCTTTTTCTGAAAATAGTTCATTTGAAACACACACACACACACACTTTGCTTCTATTTGAGAATTACTTAAATTTTCATTAGTTAAAACTCTTAAGAAATATTCTCACCTTTACAATAAGAAAATGAGACAGCCACCCAAGCAACCATTTTGTACTTCTGAAATTATTAATCCCTCTTTAATCTTCTTTAACAAGGACATAGTGCTTTTAAAATATAAAAATAAGAGGAAGCATTTAATACACACATCTTAGCACTGCAGTCTGAGGAAAGGCAGTGTATTTATGGAATAGAAAATCATATTCAAAATAGGATTCCTGTTAGAAGGAATCAGATCTTAAATACTGTAGATCAGGGTGTACTCACTTTAAAACTCCATCATTTCCTTTCACTTGCTAGTGAGATGGAATAACCTAGATGTGATTAAGTAACAGGTTTGTTTCTCTCTGTGTGTGTGTGTGTGTGTGTGTGTGTGTGTGTGTGTAAAAGGAATATTGTAGATCTCCTGATCAGGGTTTTAAACATGGACCACAAGTAGAAGCTCCTTGTAGATGCTTTTTCCTGTCAAAAGATGCACAAATAGTGCAGGAAAAAAACATGGAAACAGTAACAATGTTAAGTAACACATTCAGAGGATGGAAGAAAGTGTAATCACAATTATGGCAAATAGAAATGACTCTCTAAGCATAGGACAAATGATATACATGTGAATATGTTTGCCAAACAATTTTGATTTGGCATAGCATGTGGTTTTATTCTGGACTTTGCCTCAAGGAAAAAGCCCTATTCAGTAATCATCTAAACGAACTCCTTAACATGTACTTTTGAAAAAGCTCCTTAACAGGCTTCTTTGAGTATAGCCTAACTTTTTACTTTTTTTAGACAAATGAGGCAGAAAACCAAGAGTAGCAGGGTAGAGTGGTGGAGAAAGAGCCAAACTTGGGGTCAAGAAGACTTGAGTTCAAGTAGAGCCCCAGATTCCCACTGATATATACAGGCTGTGTGGCCCTGAACAAGTCACTTGTGCTGGCAGACAACTCTAACAAGTTGCAGAGTAGGGGCCAATCTGTATTGGTGGAGAGAGGTCTTTACCAGGAGTTTTCTGTACCAAAGATCATAAGTTGCCTAAACTGATGATAATGTTGATACAGAAAACTGTAGAAGGTTTTTCACAGGACCTCCAGTTCATCTGTATCTGCCCTCCAATAGAAAAGAGAACAACCACAAGAAGCCATTGTTTGATATTGTTTGAGGATCATGATGAAATGCTACCACCTAATTTAGAGATCACTCATCCCTGGAGGTTTTCCATAGACCACACTGAGTTTCCACAGAACAGCTTGAGCTCTTGTCAGTGGTGTCTGGGGGTCATCAATATTTTCACTGGTTATTGGGTTGTCACACGCTTTCAATTTATTTTTGCCTCTGTTGACAGAACTAAAATTTGGCCTTTATTCTCTCATTTCAATCTGAACCATGTTTGTAATGTACTTGGCATCCATTGTAGCAGTGGCAGAACCAGAAACTCAACGTTCCTCATAGAGAATACAACCAAAACCAAAATGCACTCACTGACGGATGCCAATCAGAAACCACAGGTCTCCTTCTGAAATTATTGAGAAAAGTCACAAAATGTAAGAAAGAATTAAAGGGTAGGTCTGTGCAGCAGCACTGAGACCTTTGGGATTGTTTCCTACTCATCATAGACATGTCTTAAAAGTCAGTGCCAAGCTTTAAAATACCATGATTCATGACATATTTCTTTGGATCTGATAGAGAAGAAATATTTTATTGGGTAAGACATTGAAAACCAACAATTAGTAATTTAAATGTGGGCCCTTCTGCTAAGGTTATGTGTTATACTATGCCAAAAGTAGCCAGCTAATTAATGGATAAAGTCCAACTCCTCCTGCATTGTGTAGAGAAAGCAATAAATTGACTGATTTGTTTGCTTTCAACCAGTTGAATCACTGCCTGATGCAATTCAGTTCAATTCCACAAACATATAAGTTCCTTCAATGAGTGAGCACTGTGATTCTCTGTGATGAGGCTTAGCATCCTCTGGATGACTGTGCTGACATGTACAACTTGAAGAGGGAGATAGTATTTCGCAGCATAGATGTATTTCTGAAAAAAGGTTGTGGATTGCCCATTGCTTTTTTTATATATAAAACAAGTAATTTTACAAAAAGATCAGTTAAATACTAGAGAATTTTTTCTATTTAATGAAATATTATTGTAATCATTTTATTAAATATTGGATGTTTGTGCTGATTTGAATTCAGAGGTCCTGGATTTGAATCCTGGATCTTTTCCTTGCTACTCTTGTGACCTTTGTCAAGTCACCTCCCCTCAATGAGCTGTCGTGGGTTTGCTAATGTGATAAAGTTGGCTCAGATGACGTCTAAGTTTCCTTCCAGCTCTAAGTCTAAAACTTAATGATTCTTCACCTTTATTAATGCCTAGTTCGTGTTTAGTATCTATCTAGATCCCTATATTACAATTTTATGTAAATCAAGGAATTTTAGAACAATTAAAAAGTCAAACTTCAAAGAAATGTTTCTCTCGATTCAAAAGTATCATTCAAATTGGTTATGTAACTGACCCAACCAGTTATATGACTAGTGAGTTTGGTTAAAAGATTTAAGTTCATAAAGACATAACCCAATTCTTGGGTTCTCTACCTGTAAAGAAACAGAATTTTCAATACTCCTTATTTCACAAAGTTGTTGAAATAATTAATTAGAGCTTTCAAAATCTTCCTATTGATGTTCATACCTACTTCTCTAGTAAAAAATAAACAAACAAACATAAAACCATGGCACCATTTTGGTGCTCTGATAACAATACCTCTCTCCTGGTGATTTTCAGGTGTCAAATAATGAACTATATGTATACTACAGGGAGAATCCTATTCCCTGCAATCAGAGAAGTCTTCTGGCAAAAATATACTTTCTCTGATACAGATGAGTTCAACAATTAGTTTGCTTCATCCAGTGATTGATTTATCAGCCAATCCAAGGAAATAAGACTCATTTGCCTTCCTAAACTTGCCAAAAAGAAGATGTTGATGAAACATGACACATACGTAGCAATCCAGTAAAGATCATTCTTTTAATCTCATGGTTCTTGAGGGTTTTTTTTTTTTGCAGTAAATATGATGCTTTATTTCAAGCAGTACAGTACAATGTAGGATGTCTATGACAGGTTCTCTTGCAGTACTGTGAAAGATATGACTTGTTCCAGTGGAGGTTTATTATTTCTATTTTTCTTAATACAGAACCCAGTGCTGCTCCTACAGATGTCAAGGCTACAAGTTTGTCTGTATCTGAGATTCTTGTTGCATGGAAACATATTAAAGAGAGTCCAGGAAGACCACAGGGATTTGAGGTATGAACAGAATACCAGAACAGTAAACTTTGTTGTTTTTACAGGCATAGCATTCTCCTAAAAGTGTGGTTTTGTTAAACTTCAACAGAATTGTATCCCTAATGTAAAATGGCTATATGTTAAAGAAAAAAAATGCCTTCATAGAAGAAATGTTCCTATTTTATTGACATAGACAATATAGCTTATATCTAGATTAAGCTCATATAGATTATTATTATTGTATGTTATTATTATTATTATGAAATCTCAACAAAATCCAGAACATCATCAAAGGAGGTAACACAATCCCTCAAACTCCTATAGATATACCACAGTAAGTGGTACAGAGATTGGCAGAGATGGTCAAAAATATACATATGTCATATGTCAATCCCATTGATTAAATTTTATAAGCACAAAATTATCCTCTCACTGTCTTTGCAGAGCTCACCTCCAATACTGAATTTCCAGGGGTGGCACAGAAAATTTAAGAGATCAATATTTGTTTTATGGAGTCCAAATGGATTTTTTTTCTCATGAATCTTTCTACTTCATTAAAAAGTATTCTACCCACCTCAAAATCATGTTTTTCATAAATTCTATGGCATCAACTTAAAAAAGTCAGCCTTCACAAAAACTAGAAGATGATAGATAGATAGATAGATAGATAGATAGATAGATAGATAGATAGATAGATAGATAGATCAAGCATTTACAAAGCACCTTTATGTGCCAACTCTGTATTAGGTTCTGTGTTTATACATGCAAAAATGAAATAGTCCCCACTCTTAAGGAACTTGCTGGGTTCCTATAATGAATATCAGTAGTACTCTTCATTTATGAATTGTTAATTCATTGAAGTCCTTCATCTTGTCTTATGAGATCAAAGTCATGAATGAATGCAGAGTGGTATTGTGAAAAGGGTACTAATTAGCTCTATGACCATGAGTAATCACAGTACAATATGTACTGAATAGTGTGCTGGAGTCAAGAAGACTTGCCTCCACTTCTCACCTCTAACACATACGGTCAAGACTCCTCACAAACTTTGTTTTTTCATCTATAAAATGGGAATGATAATATCTGTAGTGTCTAGCTCACAGGGTTTTGTGATATTCAAATGAGATAATGTCTGTGAAGTGCTTTGCAATCTTTAAAGACCTTGTAAATATCAGTTATTATGATGACTGTTTCATTTTCCTCATTTTTATAAAACGGGGATAATGCTACCTGCCCTGCCTACCTCAGAGTGTTGCTGTGAAGGTCAATGACATAAAAAAATGAAAGTATCTTTACAAACTGCAAGCACACTATTCAAAAGTGAGAAAGTATTGTTATTAGTATCACACAAAGAAGAAAGGAAAAAATACAGACAAATCATCATCCTACCAATTTTTTAATTTTTAATTTTTAAATCTGACTTAATTTCAATTTCTCATTTTTTAAAAAAATCAGATTTCAGTGAAAAACCTTCTCCTTATACAAGATATCCATTATTTACTCTGCTTATATTCTAAATTAATTGCCAGGATATGTGTATCCTAGAAATTACATATATGTATACATGTGTATATACACATATGTGGATATGGATATATGTATGTAGATGGATGGATAGATAGATAGAAATATATATCCTGGAAACTATATATTGTATTAAATCATTTTTCCATTTTATTTTACATGTCCTAGAAGCAATTTATCATATATGTTTATATATATATGTCTATATACAAATATACATATGTTTACATGCATATATATTTATATGTGTTAAGATATGATTAAGATGGTTGCAAATAACTTCTTGATTAATATGCAGTTAGCACTCTTTGATAGCAGCAATAATGAAGATTGTGTGTGTGACTATTAATACTTCCATGACAAGGCTCTTAGGAAGCAGTTAAATATCTGAACCATGTGTTTGTGTTATTTATAAATCCTGCCTCAGTCCATCATCTTCAGTAACTGGATAGTATGTTCTATTTGTTTATGTCAGACACTACACCCTTTTTGAATACCCAGTCCCTGTATTCCCTTATCATGTTCATGTCCAAAAGCTGGGACCTTACAGAAAAGAATTTGTGCTGGGAATATTTCAACTGGACATGTATCAAATTGACAACTCATCCCAAGCAAAGAGAAAACAGCCTCAAGAGATGAACTAAAAGCTCACAGGAACAGAACAGAACATGAACAGAATTCTGGGACCATAGAGGCATTGATTTGTTAGCTAAACTACAAAATGTTGTTCAATACACCCAAATTGGCCCCACACCTAAGACAAATACTATTTTCAAATACAAGTTAAAAACTAAATACCAATTACTTTTGCAACATATGACAGGGATGTAATTTTAATCAAGGCACGTGTTAAGCAAAACAATGAAGTATCTAATTTCAATGTTCCTCCCCTTCTGTTCATTTTTTTCCCATGTCCCCATCTCTCTCCTCTGATAACTACTGACCTCATCATTTCTACATTATTAAAAGCAGTTCTCAAAAAAGAATTTGATAATAAGCACAAAGGAGACTTAAAGTTCAAGTTAGACTATTTATCATCTGTTTCACCTTGAGCAAGTCCCATCTCTTCTCTGGATTTTATTTTCCTCATTTATAAAATGGACACGATGATCCCTAAGATCCTTTCCAGATCTTATTTCACTAGGATCTAATTGAGTAACAACAGTTAATGTGATACCTTTTCTAAGAAAATCTTATCTTAGAAGACAAAAACATGAATCAGAAGAATGAATCTCTACAGATAACAACAGAGGGAGGTGAACTATTTTGAGGAGAATGTGATCTCTATGCTCTTAAAATTAAACCACATAAGAAGCTGTTGATGTAGCTTATTCATAGGGTTAGCTGTGTCCTTATGAATAATTATATGAATCATATGAATTATATGAATCATATATAATTATATGAATCATAAATCTTATAAAATGTCCCAGGAAAAAAATTATGAATCAGAAACTTGGAATTTGAAAGAATCCTGGATATCATCTGGTCTAACCTAAATCAGGTAGATAGAATGCTGGGCCTGAAGTCAAGAAGATTCATCTTCCTGAGTTCAAATCTGGCCTCAGACACTTATTAGCTGTGTGATCCTGGGCAAGTCACTTAATCCTGTTTCCCTCAGTTTATCATCTGCAAAATGAGCTAGAGAAGGAAATGGCAAACCACTCCAGTATTTTTGCCAATCCCAAATGGAGTCATAAAGAATTGGACATGCCTGAAAAATGAAACAATGATGACAATCCAAACCACGAAGCCAACTTACAACATCCATATATCTGACCTCTGATTGAAAACGCCTAGTAGTGGAGAAGTTAACTAATGCCTCTACTCAAAAGCTAGGAGGCTTATTACATTTGAAGGCAGTTCTTATTGCTTGAAAGTTCTTCCACATATAGACTCAAAATCTGCCTCCCTGTAACTTCTAGCTTTGTCCTCTGAGGTCAGGTCTAATTTCTTCCATACAAAAACTCTAAAGATATATGAAGATGGTTAATATCTTTTTCTCAATCTTTATCTTTACTGAAACCTTTGACACTTTTGATCACTATCTCCTATAGATACTTATTCCTCTATATATTTTCATGACATTATTCACTCCTAGTTCTCCTAATTGTATGGCCACTCCTTCATCTCCTTTGCTAGATTTTCATCATGCCTGTAATCTTGGATATCCTTCAAGGCTTTATCCTAGGCTCTCTTTTCTTTTGCCTCCAAGTAGTTACCAAGTCCTATCAATGCTAGTTCCACAATGTTTCTTGCATTCCCTTCACTCTTTTGCTGCTGTGTGATGGCTCATTTGGTCCTCAGAGGTCATCAGCTCCTATAGGTTCATTTATCATACCTAAGCAAATGATTCCCAGATCTATATGCCCAGCCCTATTATTTCTTCTGAGTGCCAGTCCCATATAACTAGCCACCTTCTGGACATCTCAAACTGTTTGTCCCATAGGCATATAAAATTGAATATGTCCAACATAGAACTCATTATCTTATCTCCCAGACATTTCTCTCCACTAAACTTTCTTATTATTATAAAGGGCAATACCAATCTGTCATTCTGACTCCTTGCCCTCACTCATTTTACATATCTAATATTTTGTCCAATCTAGTCATTTCTACCTTAATGACATCACATATAAGTCCCTTTCTTTCTACTCACATAGCCACTACCCTAATATGGGCCCTCGCCCCTCTTGTCTAGATTATTCAAACAGCATTCTAATTATTTTCCCTTCTTCATGTCTCCTCAGCCAATCCAACCTCTACTCTGCTGTACAGGTGATTTTCTTTAAGAGCAGATCTGACTATAGCAACTCCTTTCTTAATTCCAGTGAGTCCCTATTACTTCCAAGATCAAGTAGAAGGCCCTCTACTTGGCATTGAAAGCTCCTCACAACCTAGCTCTTTCTTTCCTTTCCAGTCTTCTTAAAATTTATAGTTCTCCATTTACTCTATAATCTAGCTGCACTGACCCATTCAATGTTCCTCACATACCACACTACAAAATCCATGACCTTGCATGGGCTGTCCTACTTGTGTGATGCCCTGTGAAAAGATCAAATTGAAGAATGGTTTCCTAAGGGCCAAGAAGTTCTAGAATTGGATCTGTTGCAGATGATCTTTTGTTGACTTCCTTGAATTCTGAAATACAAATGACTCAAATTCTCTTGTCTTTGGACTCAACCCTTTCTCTGATTACCCATCTCAAATTTTAAACTAACTCTTGAAGATCCTCACCCATTCATATCTCACCAATATCTCAGACTCAAAACAAACTGGGATTCATCATTTCCATACCCACACCCCTTACTAACTTCAATATTTCTCTTGATAGCAAGATCAGCCTCCATCCTTCACATTCAATTAGTTGCCAAGTCCTACCAATTCTAGTTCCACAATATTTCTTGCATTCCCTTCACTCTTTTGCTGCTGCTACTATACTTGTTCAGTCCTTTATTAACAGTCTCCTAGCTTATTGGAATGCCCCCCAAGAAGGT